GACTACTCATGTATGAATTTGCTTTGATCAGAAATGCTTTTGGACGTATTTATATCCAGTGCTGGAAACATGTCTTTTTTTCCCCCTCTTGAAGTGCTGCAATTTCAGGTACACTAAGAGAAGGTTATTGGAGGTTTCTAGGAAGAATGTCGCTGAAAGAGTAAACTGTTTGTCAAGATCAGCATTTGTTTGTTCAGAAACCTAAACAGTATGATTCACTGATCCAAGTGCACTCGTGGTCTTTTAGAGGTGTTCACTCCTGCAATGCAGTACGCTCTCACAATTTGCATGCTGCAAACCGCCTCCACTTTACTCTGCAGTATGCATAGTAGCATCACTATACGTATCTCTGTAATGCATAGCATGACAATTGTGGGCTTGAGTGCAGACAAAAAAGCAATTGATCAGACCTAGGTTGTGGTAGTACAAACACTTCAGATCTAGGTACAATAGTGCTGCCATTTCAACCCTACCAGATTGAACAATTAACTGCACAACTGTATGAGCAAGAACTTGCCAAAGAATGCCCAATTTTATAGTCGTTCCTGTCAGTAATTGTGATTTGAATGCTTAGTGTGACACACTGATGGTGATGTGTGTGAGACCATCTAGTGAACTCGGGGCACCCACTGGCTGGGTCTCTAAGAATAGCCACAGTGTTCCAGGGCAGGAAAGCCCCCGACGCGTGACCCGGGCAGGGTGGATGGACTCTGCGCTGCCTTTGGGAGCTCAATCATGGGCCGCTGCTATTCCTGTCTCGGCCCGGCCCGGTCTGCATGCTTTCAGATGGAAATCTAAACAGTGGGCAGAACAAGCACTTCTCTCACTGGATCCCCCACCCTTGACCGTGCCTTGTTCAGCGTGGACCTGCTGCGTGAATGGCCCTCCTTCATGCGGGCCAGGTTTAACAGTCTCGCTGTCACATACTCTGAGAAAGATGGGGCAAGAGATAAAGAACTGAAGGTGTTTTATGGGCCACCCTGACACCCTGCTGCGACCCACAACTTTTTGCGGGTTTGAGGATTTTTTTTGTTGTCCTTTGTACTGAGCTCCATATCCTCAAATGACTTTATTTTCAGACTGGAATTTGATGGCATATGCAACTCCGAATTGAAACAGAAAGAAAGCGAAAAAGGGAAACGCATGTGGGGTAAGATATGCTAATTTGACATACAGACACAAATGCACCAAGCACAAAAAAGCATTCAGAAGCTCAAATACCATCCACTCAGACTACTGAGGGACTCAAATGAGCTATTTGGCTTTTATTACACACCCACTCGCTGTCTCTCACGCATTTAAGACAGACCCCTCACACACATAAATGCAGACACACAGTTCTTTGAAGTGTGTCTAATCTTAGAAAGGTCCATTAACACTATCATCAATGTGTTATCTGTAAGGCTGTAGATCGGCCCTGGCTAGATGTGTGCATGTCATTAAATCACTGAACATACTATGGAAAACACTGAATGGACTGGATGGGTGGAGACCTGTGGTCATGCCAGCAGTGATGTCATCCCTTCGGGGACTCCATTCATGTTGTCTTGGATGCTCTCACATTACAGATAAGTGAATCATCTGACCCCTCCCCACCACACCCGACTCCATGAGACCACCAGGACCTCATGACCATAATCACAATTTCACAGCTCCCTGACTAATGCAGAGAGCTCAGACACTCATACACACCGCCTAATACACACCTGCACTGTTCCCGTACGATATGAAGGTTTTCCATGTGGGACTGTATGGCTGAGACCCAAGATCTTTTGGGCCTAATGCGGTTCAGTAGACAGAATTATCAAGGATTCATATCTACGGCTATTAGCGATGTATAGTTACTCTCTATGGGAATTAATACAATGTTAATTTCATTCATTGAACTTCAAATGCTGAGCTAATGATTCATTTGCGTCACAGAATAACATAATGTTGGAACGTCTAGCCTATGTGATCAACTGTGCGAAGCTGATTTGAAGTTTAACCACCGTTTAAAGCTACACTTTAAAAAAAAAAAAAAAGGTTGCTAAAAAAGTTTCTACATTTCAGGGAACATTATGAGAGTGTAACTCTTGAAATTAATACTTAAAGCCTTTATGTATAATGCATTATAAAAGTAGTTTTAATGCATTAATTAAGCCTTGTAATGCACCTTATAATGCATTGTACAGTCTCATGAATAATTGTAACCACAGTTAATACATTATAGCACTTATCAGTTCATTGTTACGCTATGCATTTTAAATTCGGTTATAATTATTTACGACAAGATATAATGTATTACAACGCACATTATGAATAATTATAATGCATTATAACCTTTAATAACCCTTGATAATGCATTACACATAAAAGCTTTAAGTAAACATATTGTGATGAACATTAAACTAAATATTTGTCTTCAACAAAGAAGACACAAAGGTTAAAATGAATCGGTGAATCGTTTATTTGATCAAATGAATTGTATATTTGATCAGTGAATCATTTATTTAAAAGAACCATGAGAATGGACCGATTCTCTTAAATGAATTGGATTTCCAGTGGAATATTAGAGTAGGCAGAGCGTGTTTGATTAAGTTTGTTATACTATTTGATGACTGTGATTGGCCAAAGATAATGTTAACGTTTGCATTCACAGAATGCATCTTCCAGCTCTTTCGGTAGTAACAGCATGCAGATTAGATCAGTTGATGTAAAGTTTTTCTTTGAAAACGGCTCACTATCCTTTCGCTTCAGGTGTCCTTGCAGATATGTGGTTTTCTCCAAGTGAGCATGCAACATAATGCAAGTGAACCGTACAGATACGTTAGACATTAACAGAAAGATAAACTCAGTGTGTGTTTTTCCTGATTTGATTTTCAGAGCATCCTCTGAACCCTGAATGCACAGATTGAGCTGTTATTTGGCTTTAAATTTTATCTAAATATGCAACCATTTCAAATAACCAGGCTGCTATTTTTCTTGTTCAGAAAGCACTTTGCATTTGTCACTAATGCAAAAACCTCACTGCAATTTGTGTGTTATATTTTGTTCAAACAAACATGCTTTCTTTACGAAGAAAAACAAGGAACATTTGCACTTTACCGGGGTCTTCCGGAGTCTTTCTTGCCAGTTCTGGCCTTGTATCACCTAATGTGAAAATGGGCCTCTTCTGCATTGAATGAAGCCGCTGACGTCCAGCTGGTAGAATGGCCTCTCTAATGCGCAATTAAACACTGTAAATGGAGCCTGCAGCATCTCGCTCTAATCGAATCACACGAGAGCACTGCATTGTTCTTCTCCATTTAGACGCTCCGCATAATGCATCACCGCAAGTCCTTCCCTGTTTGAGTCAAGCGGGGTTGCAGATCGGGAGAAGGAGGTTAGGAGGGACAGCTGTTGTGCATTCCTGGCTGGGTTATGTCGTGATGTGGATCGACAACAGCGAGCGTGAACCCATACGACGCCCAGGGCTGGCAGTTTCAAAACCGCACAGAGATGCCAGAACATCTGGGTGTCAGTAGAAAAGCAGTCACAGACGGCGAAAAAAAGTCTAGAGTCTGGACTGTGCATTTAACTCCCGGACAAATTCATTGTGCTTGAGTCACAGGCGGGCGTTTTTTGACGGCCAACCAGTAATAGAATAACCACCCCTCACCTTGATCGCATTACTGTCCCTTCAGCGAATTCTTCACTCGGCTTTGTGACATTCTTCAAACCCTCAGGTTTTTTTTTTTTTTTTCCCTAGCCCCTCTTTTCTCTCGAACCGCCACCCCGGCAGTCCTAATTGGATCAGTGGAAGTCATCGGGCACTGTTTAATTAATCAAAGCCCTCTCTGTGTCCTGCCGGGTGCCCACGAGCAGAGAGGGCGAGCTTTCCAACACTGAGCTGCCTGTTTGACGCCCCGCAGCCTGCTGTGACATCATCACCCCTCTGCCACGACCTCTGACCCCTAACTATTGACCCCTGCCAACAGAGGCCCATCTGTCTGTGGCTGGAGACGGAAATGGGACAGCTTGCTGGGCGGAAGGGATTGTGGGAAGGTGGTCATCGGTGTAGAATCTGACCTGTGACACACACTCGATGTGTTTGCACACTATCCTTGGCTCTGAGCAGCAGTCTAGGAGGTCAGGTTGGAGGTGGTTGATGTGTGTAGGCCTAACTACGTTTAAGTGTGTGACGCTGACGCTGCTGGTTTTCTCGCTGTATATGATGATGTAGTTCTTCACACTGATTGACTTGCTTTTGGTCAGGAGAGTAGTTTTGTGGAAATGAAACTCTGAAATCTGAGATTTTGACTTGGAATGTAGTAGATTATTTATTTATTTTTTAAATTAAGTTTATTTTGTGAAATGTAATATCTGTTTTAATTAATTTGGCTTGATTTATTTAATTTTACTGATTTAATTTGAAGTATTTTACTTATTTTTATTTTACGTTATTTTTATAAAATGTATATTTTGTGAAGTAATGCAGTGTGTTTTCTTTGATTTGATTTAGCTTGACTTTATTTTACTTTAAGTAAAAACAAGTAAAATAAATAAAATAGGTAAAATTATCATAATTTGTTTTATTTTCATTTGATGTGACATGATTTTACTATTTTATTTTTGTAAAATATTGTATATCTTATAACAATGGAGTATGCTTTATTTTTTTTCCTTTATTTTATTTTTTTCCTTGTTTTATTTTACTTCAAGTAAATCAAATGAGCAAAATAAAATTAAAAATATATATATAATTTATTATATTTTAAAAATTTGATTTGGCTTGATTTAGTATGTTACTTTATTTTATTTTTGTGAAATGTAGTATAATTTATTATTATTAATTATTAATTTATTATTATTTTGAAATGATTCTGTTTTGACTTATTTTTTAATTATTTTACATATTTGTACTGTTTGTTTGTTTGTCCCTAATTGAGTTGTTTTTGCCCGTCAGATAGTTTTTGTGAAATACAGTATATCTGCAGTTAATCAGATTATATGATATTTGTCTGTGTTTGGTCCAACAGATCTGGAGTGTGCGGATGTTCCCTTATTGACTCCAGGAAGTAAAGAAATGATGTCACAGGCTCTTTTGGCCACATTCAGCGGCTTCACAAGGGAGCAACAGCGGCTCTCCATCCCGAAAGGTCCAACTCTACAGCACTTCCATCTCTCTAACAACTCTCTAGATTAAATCCTATATCCATATTTCTGTAGCTCTCTCTCTCTTTAAGGGAAAGTTCCTGGCTCAGTATTCTGTAGCACTAGGCTGTTTCTGAAATGACCACAATCAGATTGCCTAAAAAGAGATCTTGCTAGATAGGCACATGGCACTCTGAAGCAGCAGCGGTTATGAATTATGCTTCCCAAACTATGTCAGACTGCAGGATGGCTTTACTTGCTGTGTCTGGGGAGGCTGAAGTCTGTGTTGGGTCTGCGTCTGTCTGGAAATAGCAGTTGTGGAGCATGTGCACAGCCGAAAGAGATAGAGAGAGAGAGTTGGTGTCTAGGTCTGTAGGCTAAAATTACAACTGTTTCAGTTCCTCTCATCATGGCATCAAATTTATAACGAAATCATCTGATAATTTCACATGAGCCACTGGACCTGCGACTAAAGTATTGCATGCATCAGCACTACAACTACACAATATTAGTGTATTGATAGTTTATGGGCATAGCATGCTTGCGTAAACATTTTTGTAGTTGATCATGAAACAGAAACATACTGTTTCTTTCTTTAATATGATGCAATCTGTACAATATATGTAATAAAATAATTGCATCTGTCCCTTTCTCTTCTCTAGACCCCCGTCAGTGGACAGAGGCCCATGTTAGAGAATGGTTGACCTGGACAGTAAATGAGTTCAGTCTGAAGAATGTGGACTTTCATAAGTTCAGCATGGACGGGGCCAATCTCTGCGCACTGGGCAAAGAGCGATTCCTGGATCTGGCACCAGACTTTGTGGGCGACATCCTCTGGGAGCATTTAGAGATGCTGCAGAAAGGTAGACATCCTCACAGCCTCATGGAAGACACCGATCATCAACCACTGTCATTGTACTATCATTGTGATACTGTTATACTTTTTTTTTTTTTTTTTTTGTTTTCATTTTAATTTTTTGGAGAAT